CATCTTTCCCAGCAACTCTGACTTCGACATCGTCTGGAATGTTGTACTTGATTTTGAAGGTTGGAACTTTTGAGGGAGTGAGAAGAGCCATGAAGAAGATGAAGTGCAGAGAAAGAAAATGCAGAAAGAGAATAGTAGGAATTTGAGAGTCAGGACGCAAAAAGTCGAAGTAAATGAAATACGAAGAGAGACGGTTATAAAGAGGGGAATTTTAAAGGGCAATATTTAAATGCTCAGAATGTGCCGCCAAAACAAAGGGGGATGTTACAAAGTACAAGTAATAATGATGAGAATGTAAGAAAATGGCTGACAGGCAAAACACGTTTGTCAGACGTTTTCTGGGGGCAAATGAAGGGATTAAACCTAATGACTACACGTGGTATGACATTAAATGCACTCATGTGGTGTTGACAAGGCAAGACACATGATGAAGAATCCTTTATTATGTCTTTTAACCGAGTCGAGCTAACCAGTGGTTCGGCAGTCAAAGAGTTCGATTCCCTTTATGGCCAAACTTGTTAATTTGTTCAGCTAAGCAGGTAAAGAGCTCGGTTGTACCACGCCGAGTTCGTTAAAGTGTTCAGGAAGGCAATAGAAAAAGATCAGTTTGTGCCAAACCGATCCCTAAAACTGTTCGGCAAATATCGAATGTGTTCGGCATTCGCTATATCCGAGCTATTCGAAACAATAAATGCAAAGATAAAGATTCACCTATAACTTAGGCAACTGGGTAAACGAATCAACAAAATTGTAGATATCAGGAGGAATTGTTGAAGAAATATCCATAACTTCCCAAACTGAATGACTGAATTGAAGTAAGGTGTGTCACATTGAATCAAAATTGACAGAAACCCTAATGATATAATCATCTATAAAAGGCAGAAGGAACCAAGGGGAAAGGTACGCTGAACTCTCCTTGCCTTCTTCCATTCTTTTTAGTACCATTACTAACTTAAATATCGGAGTGTCTTCGATCGAAGCACTTCGATTTTGGACAGTTTGTTCATTTTGCAGGAAGAAGGTTGGGAGATCCAAGTTCGGAATTCATTTAATATCGAGTACAATCTCTCAATATCTAGAAATGAGGTATCATCAATTTTTTGCCTCTTATACTAGGCATATTAGCTGAGTTTTCTTTAAGCTGGTGGGAATGTTGTCTCCCTCTTCACTTTTTTTCCTAGGATTTTAGAGAAAATATCGAGAGTAATGTCACGTTACATAATCATTCATTAGTAAGTGAATAAATTCATAAATGAGTCTTACAAGAAAGTAGGGTTTATTATGTCGTTTTTATAATTTTTTTATTGAACAATTATACTACATAACAATACTGATACGGTGTAACTGTTACGCCCAATATTTAGTTGGGGTTTTGGGGGCTTTGAATTTTTGACCGTTCTAAGATTGTGACTATTACGTGGCAATTCTTTCTTAGACCAGCGTGTGGCACCAGTGGAGTTGTGAGCCGAACACGTGTCAGTCCGTAGTTTTATTCTGACTACCACTGTTGGGAGTTTCTTCTCCACCGTTGGCTTGGTCGACTCATGAAGAGAAAGAAATCTTGATTTTGATTCCTTTTATTTCCTTTCTACAGAGGGCGTGTTTGGAACGTGGTTGGTGTTTTCGTGCACCAGCAGCAAAAACACGTGCAAAATCAAGAGGGACACAAGGACTCGGCTAATTCAACGGTACCAAATTTTTCTTTTTTTATCGGGTGTTTAGGTTTGAATCATTTATTTTTATGAGTTTGAACTAACTATTAAAATTCAAACTAATTTAAAAATATATTCTCTGAAAAATAAGGATGGTCGTCCCTTAGGAGTGTGAAAAGTATCCTGATCCCTGTAGTCTCTTGCTTGCAAGATGGCGGACTTGACAATTGGATTATCCCTGAAGGTTACCAAATTTTTTTTAAAATATGTAATAAAATTTATTATTTTTTAGAATTAAATTACAACTTTTAAAGGTGGAGACATACAGTGATCAATCATAAAATAGGGCTAATATCAAATTACACCCCAAAAGATAATTTAAATCTTAATTTGCACCCTCAAAGTTTACAAATATCAATTTAAACCTTAAAAAATATAAATTTATATCAATGTGCAACAGGAGTTAACTACCGTCTATTTTCCCGTCAAAAAAGTTTGGCCTAATTGCAAATTGCACCTTCAAATTTAAATATTTTACATTTATAATCCAAAAAACATTTTATCCATTAATAATCATTATTTTCTTGTTGAGTCAATTGCATTGTGTCGTATATTTCATATTTACGGTAATTCATATAATACTATTCAATTTTTTTTAAAATACCAATTTTTTACCTACAATACTCATTAAATATCTATTTTCTGTTTAAAGTTAGGCATGACATGATAAAATTGAGAATTATTTAATGAGCATAAATGGATGTAATTCTTTTTGGATCATAAATGTGAAATACTTAAACTTTGAGTATGCAATTTATAATTAACTCAAATTTTTTAATGGCAAAATGAACTACAGTTAGTTCCAAATGCACATTGATACTAATTTAAGTCTTTTCAGAGTACAAATTAATATTTTTAAATTTTGAGGGTGTAAATTAAAATTTGAGTGATCTTTCAAGGTGCAAGTTGAGATTAACCCTATAAAATATGGTGATAGATTATAAATATCTCTTAATTAGTTGTAATTTTATTTTTAAAAAGTGTAACTTTGACATTTTGAAAGTTGTAATTTTTGTAACCAATTATCATATTTTATGATCGATCATATTTTTTGTAATTATAATTTATATTTTAAAAAATTATAATTTAATTTTTGAAAAATTATAAATTTTGGAGAGTATGGATATATCCGTCACAAGAAGCTTCAGCAGTGGAAGGAGTCTGTTGTCAACAGACTGGACCAGCCCGGATTAGACTATTTGGGCCCAAAGTCTGTGGGCCACGCTATATGTCAGTCACAGTGACGGACTCAAGCTATCCCTAATAAGCTCTAAACGGGTTTCCATCGAGTCGTGGGCTATTCGCTGACCTATAAGTTTGATTGTGTCATTTTGGTTTTTTAATCAAGTATTATTCTTAAATTAATTTGTTTAATTAATTAATTAATTAATTGTATAAAATAGTTTGAAACTATCTTGACAGATTTATTGAGCATATTTAGAACTGACTTAAAAATTCAATTCTTCCTATAAATCTAGGGTCAATGAATAGCTTTAAAAAAATTAGGGTTAATTGCACCGAAGGTCCTCAAAGTATGAAGTTTATCTCATTTTGATCCCTAATATATCAATTGTATCATTTTGGTCATTAAAATATTAAATATCTATACAATAAATTAGATAGGTGTTTGAACCTATAGGGGATATATTTTTCCCACAAATTTCACACTCAACACACACTTTCCTCCCCAAATTTCAAGAATCTAACACACATTCTACAACACAAAACTGTACATACATACACACACTTCAACACACACATTTCAATCCATGTACAGTGTAATAATTAAGTGTACAGTGACTTTAGTCGCAAATATAGCTAGTATATATAAATCACTCCCTTCTCCCATATTTTCTTTCTTAACCCTAAATCCCCAACCCATGTTTCCCTCTGTTTCTCTCTCTCCCCTTTGTCTCCCTCTCTCTCTAACACACATCAGTGTAACCCCTCTGTCTCTCTCTCACCCACGCACGTAATCGACGACATGCCACTCGACTAGCAACACTAGATTTCAGTCGAAGGAGCAATCCTCGACAAGCAGTCTCCTTCAGTGGCAACACAAGAAATGACAGGAGAAGAAGATCGAGAAAGAAGATCTAAAAACCAAAAAAATATATATATATATATATATATATATATATATAACTATTACAGAAGAGCCAAAAGTAGTGGAACGAAGGTTCTCAAAGTTCGGCCACACAAGGAAAAAGTAACAAGACTTCACTTCTACATCCATGACAGACAAAAAGCCAAGAGACGGCACCCAATAATCTATGAGCCAACAATTTTGTTCTCATTGTTTGCACGAGAGTAATTGATTTTAGGCTGATATATTTGTGACATCATATTTTCAAAGGATACTCTGTCAAATATCTGAACGTTTTTTACACTTTGACTTTTTTATTTCACTAAAATAATGACATTAAAAATTATCAAATGATGTTCAGCTTAATGCATGTTTACATTCATTATTTGATTATTTTGTGTTTAAGAACTATGTACAGTGCCTTCAAACACATAATATAGGACGAGTTTAGACTTTCAATTTATTCAGTGTCTGAGTTTAGTACTTGATTATTTCGCGTTCAAATTCAACATTTGATTTTTTTTTAGTTACACCGTGTCTTCAGGCATATGTTATTCCTCGTAATTTAACGAATTGTCTAATTAAGAATTAATTAAGAATCAATCACCTATGGTATTTAGGTATTTCCCTTCATTCTTGGGTTGCTCTGCCACTCTGAAAGCGCCATCATTCCTGGCACAGGTGTGTATACTGCATAGTTCTTTCTAACTTCAGCCAAATCGACCCGTTTCACATATAATTCTCAAACATTCTAGCAAGCAATCAATGGGCTTCTTCACTATTGATTGTCTCTAGTTGCAGAGAGAGAGAGAGAGAGAGGAAATCCACAATATGATTGTGGTAGCAAATCCCAATGTGGGTCCAACAATTCAAACTCGCACTCGTTTAAAGAGAGGTCTCCATACTCGCTCTTTCGTTTTCATATCAAATTTGAATCAAGTCTTTGATTTGAACAAATCGAAGGTGACTTCAATAACCACCCTTGAAGGCAAACGACGATAAATTTCTCTTCCTTCTTTCCCGCATTTTGACAAACGCCTTGTGTGCATTGTAAATTGCCTCATAAGAGGCTCATTCCAATTACAGGTGTGTGTTTTGATATGCACAAAGAATTAGTTCCATATGTTGAGGCATGGTCTTGGCAAAAGTCCATTGTTGAAGAGAGGAAAGCATTAGCTCAATAGAATGAAGATCATTCGGAAATGCTGATTATTCTTCAACACCACCCTGTCTATATCTTGGGGTCCGGTAGTACCGAAGACCACCTGAATTTTGAGTTAAAGGATGCTCCTTTTGATGTTTATCGAACCGAATGCAGTGGTGAAGTTACATATCATGGACCTGGTCAGGTAGTGTCATCTACTTTCCTAGCACATTTCTAATAGTTGTTTGCATTACCTCTTCCTTGGAATTGTCTGTTAATTGAATTTGAACGCGGCATGCTAATCCCAATTTGGTGTGTTCCACAGAAGATTTTTGTCATATCACACATTACTGTCATCTAAAATCGAAAACCGTTTAAACCTGGTTATATAAAAAGAAAGACTTGAAATTCTGTGATTAAAATCCTTGACTTCCATGTTGTTAGTGTCAAAGAATTCAATGCCATTGAACTATGATATGCATATAAAATCAGAGAAAAAAAGTATTGAATCAAAGGGACAGCCTATTTCTTCCTAAAAGTATGCTTCTATGAATATGATAGAGAGCGCAATGTGATTTAATAGTCTTAAGTTTTTACTTGCACCCTTCTTCCCAAAACCTGATTGCATGGCTGGGCTGGGTGCAAGATTTGAAGTTTCATTTGTGCAACAATGCATTGAAAGGTCTAGCCCTTTTGGTTGTTTTGTGTACCTAACATGTTATGCATCTTTGTTGCAATGTTGCTGGTTATGTACCCTATTATCAATCTCCGTTGTCACAAGATGGAGGAACTTCATTGGTACCTTAGGACACTAGAGGAGGTGGACATTCGTGTTCTTTCCTCAACATTTTCGATCAAGGCTTCCTGGCTAAAGGGTTTAACTGGTGTTTGGGTTGGTATGTTTTGCAATCCTTTCACCGATGTTTTTAGTAGTTTATATGGTGTACTTCTGGTTAGTCATAGGGACCCGTTTGTGTGATTGGGTGGGTGACAGAATTTTTTCTAAAAATAAGAACCCATAAAAATCAACATGTAGATCAGTATTTAAAGGAAAACATAGATGAAACCAATTAGCCAACTCACTATCATGCCTAATCCTCCCTTCATGTACCAATTTATCAACTACCGTAACTCCAAGCTACATAAATGTCCTTAATTTAATCTACTTCAAAATGTTCAACATCATCAAACACCACTACATTAAAAGAACCAGCTTGGCATTTGAGTCATCAACCCATATACCATTCTTATAGTTCTGTCAGATCTGGGGGATAAATTAATTTGGCAGGAGACTGGCTATGGGCTTCTTGCTGTCAAAACAGCTTGGCATTTGAGTAGGAACAGGGAGTGGTGAATGTGCTGGCTGGGCTTATTTGGAAGGCTGTTACTGCTCCTAGTGCTCAATTAATTGGTTGGAAAATTGTGTGTAATGCCTTGCCTTTGGATTCGAATTTTGTGAGAATTGGTGTATCCTTGATGAGCCGGTGCTGCATGTGTTATCAGAATGTGGAAACTATGGATCACCTTTTTGTTGAGTGTGCTTATGATTAACAAAATTTCATCAAAATAATCCCAAAAACCATATTTCATAACACCCAACAATCAAGTCAACATCCAATTTCACATGATTAACAAAATTCTTCATAAAAAATTTAAAACAAAAGAGGGAATTTAATGAGTAACTTATTACCCTTCTCCAAAATTCTTAAAGTACCGAAAAAGCTACAAGTATAATACAAAGAACAAAAAACCAAGAAAGTTTGACCGTAATTCATAACAGGGAGTGTGTTAGACAGTAATTAAAACACAAATGATGAAGTAAACAGAATTTCAAGAGCAATATGACAACGTATGGAAACCCATACATAAAAACAATTCATATAAGGTGCACATCTATATATTACCACATATGAAAACCACATTCAGAAGGGTTATCAAAATATTGGTCACACGCTAGATTGAATAGTAACACAGAATGACCTAAGGCAAAAGAAGCGGTGAATTTCCAAGATTAAGCCATCAATGACAAAATAAACCAAGTTTCGAAAAAGAAAGCAAAATGAATTCAATTCACAAAGAATTTAACGGCTCATAAGTGATAGAGGCATGTTCAATTCACAAAGAATTTAAAGGCTCACCTGTAACGTTTAACACCACCACCAAAATGGCACCACTACCCAACACATAATTGCATCCAATCAAATATCTATTGAATTCAACAAAAATAAAAAAACATAAAAAACTCATACAATAAATCCAAACAAACAAAAATTATTATATTCCACCATCAATTTCATACAACAATAACCAAATTTCAACTAACACTTCAATCAAATTCTAAAGAGAGAGTTGATGAGCTCAAGAACTTACTTTGGAGTAGGACCTAGAGAACAACCAAAACAAATATGAAAATTTTGGATTACACAAACACGCAATATCCCAGAAGTTCAAGACCCAAACAAAGAGCATGTTCTATGCCAAATCTAGGACTGCAAAAACATAAACCAGTTGTATAAGTAGTAATATCTTCAATAGAAAAAGAAAGACTTCCATGAGGAGAAATCATCTCCGCATACAGGTGAATAGTTCTCCAAGAAATGTTCCAATTATAAATCTATGAGTTTTCATGATACAATCTTCCATCAGGACATAGCTCAAAGTTACTTAGTCCAAAGCATCATTAATGAAAACATATCAAAATTCCTAAAATTCGTATAATAGCTCAACAATGTCACATCATGAGAATTACAAACTAAACCTTAACCCTTCAAGATTGAAATCAAAAACAACATAATCAATCATACCAATTCTTCACCCACAGTGGCTTGAAGTGCACTGTCAAACAAATCTTCCCTCCTCTATACATCTGCAACCCCAAAACTACCAAAAAAAACAAAAAAGAAAAAAAAATTAACCAATTAATTACTTAAATCATAACCAGACCCAAACCAATTAATTGAACTCAAACTCAAACTCTTTAACTAATTCAAACCCAGACCCAAACTCAACCAAAAAGCATGTGCTATGCCAAATCTAGGACTGCAAAACATAAACTAGTTGTATAAGTAGTAGTATCTTCAATAGAAACAGAAAGACTTCCATAAGGAGAAATCATCTCCGCATTCAGGTGAATAGTTCTCCAAGAAATGTTCCAATTATAAATCTATGAGTTTTCATGATCTAATCACAATCTTCCATCAGGACATAGCTCAAAGTTACTTAATCCAAAGCATCATTAATGAAAACATATCAAAATTTCTAAAATTCGTACAATAGCTCAACAATGTCACATCATGAGAATTACAAACTAAACCTTGACCCTTCAAGATTGAAATCAAAAACAACATAATCAATCATACCAATTCTTCGCCCATAGTGGCTTGAAGTGCACTGCCAAACAAATCTTCCCTCCTCTATACATCTGCAACCCCAAAACCACCAAAAAAAGAAATTAACCAATTAATTGCTTAAATTGTACCCAGACCCAGACCAATTAATTGAACTCAAACTCAAACTCTTCAACTAATTCAAACCCAGACCCAAACTCAACCAATTGTGTTGTGTGTTCCGTGTGTAGGGGGTGGGTTGCGCAGAAGAAGGGGTTTGATTGCACAAAGGGGGTAGAGAGGAGGGTGGGGGTAGAGAGTAAGAGAAGAGGGGCACTTGGGAGAAGACCAAGGCCGTGGCGCAATGGCGGTGGCACTGGAGATGTCGAGAGAGAAAAAAGTATAAAATGGTTTTTTTATGTTGTTAGTGTCAAAGAATTCAATGCCATTTGAACTATGATATGCATAGAAAATCAGAGAAAAACAATATTGAATCACAGGGACAACCTATTTCTTCCTATAAGTATGCTTCTATGAATATGATAGAGAACGCAATATAATTTAATAGTCTTAAGTTTTTACTTGCACCCTTCCTCCCAAAACCTTATGTCATGGCTGAGCTGGGTGCAAGATTTGAAGTTTCATTTGAGCAACAATGCATTGAAAGGTCTACCCCTTTTGGTTGTTTTGTGTACCTAACATGTTATGCATCTTTGTTGCAATGTAGCTAGTTATGTACCCTATTATCAATCTCCATTGTCACAAGATGAATCTTCCTTGGTACCTTAGGACGCTAGAGGAGGTGGTCATTCGTGTTCTTTTCTCAACATTTTTGATTAAGCCTTCCCGGCTAGAGGGTTTAACTGGTGTTTGGGTTGGTATGTTTTGCAATCCTTTCACCAATGTTTTTAGTAGTTTATATGGTGTACTTCAGAAAGTCTAGTATGTTTGCATTAGCTTTAAAGTGTTTACTTCAACATCCCCACCAGTTTACTGGCGTAGCAAAAGATGGATTGCTGTTAGGGCTCTCTGTACACTATTCTATGTGAACCCCAGAAAAGCTAGTTCACTCCTTATTTACCAGTTTCTTAGAATTTGTTAAATACAAGATTGATGTAGAAGGGCATTATCCTATATTTTTTATCTTTTTTTTAGGTTCAGCAAATTACAAGTGAGAACTAATCATGAATTTCAATGGTACCCTAATTTACACCTCTAGTTTAAGCTTCTTTTATAATAGCAGTATGTTATGTTGATCCTCTGTTTTGTGGAGATAAAACATTTGGAGCCTTACAAATTCACTTGCATCAGGAGATGAGAAACTCGCAGCTATTGGGATATGAGTATCACAGTGGATAGCATATCACGACTTAGAACCGAATGTCACCACAGATCTAACACCCTTTCAATGGATAGTCCCATGTGGGATACAGGATCATCGAGTTGGAAGCATAAAAGGGATGCTGGGAGAATCTATATCATCTGATGGGCATGGAACAACAAATATCGTCATGGCGATGATAACTTTCTGATTAATATCACCCACAAATCTATGGTCAAGGAGTTCTGTGAAGTTTTCCAAGTCGAACTCTACCAGAAACCTATACCTATGTTGGAGTTATTATAGAAGGAATGATCAGCGTCGCTTATTGGAAGCTAATGCAACATATGGCATGCATGTATAATTTCATACAGACGATGAAGATATTTATCGCTACTGTTTCTTAATGCTCTAATCTTGTAATTCTGTTTCTCTTTAACCTAAAAGAGCCTAGACTAAGGGTGCAAAGACCTAATATTCAATCAAAAGGATAAGAATTGATGGACCATATTTTGCATCAATGGGGAAGGTCCTGCATCACATGGGTGTATTATAATGTGATCCAAGATTTATCCTCTCAAGATAATACAAAGCTGACAATCTTGTTGATTGACCAATTAGGGTCAAACACAGTTTTTGATACTTGCAATGTAAGACACATATCTCAAGAATATATCAACTCAAGAAGCATGACCTCTCAATGATAAGTAACTCTTCATTTTCTCTATAAATATGGGTGAAGACCTAAAGATAGGGGGCCTCAAGTATGAGCACCTTGGCTCCATACTCCACACACGCACCTTTTATCATTTTTCTAGCCCATTCAAATATTAATTGCAATACTGACTTAGGCATCAGAGGGGTCTCCCCTGACATAATGTCGGGGTCTCTCCAAGCTCTCTGATTTTGCAGCTCACGGACCGAACAATATTCGAAGACTAGGAGCACAACTTAAACATTCTAGTGATTGTGCAAATTTTTGCCCACAAAAGAACTCAAAAGCATCCTCTACAAGCATAGATCTAACACAAAGTAAAAAAGTTTACAAGTATTCCACAGAATCCCTTACAAGCATCAGTACTTCTCTGCTACAGGTCTGGAAGGAAAGAGCCTCTGAAGAAATGTCAGCAATGACCACAGGCAAATCACACCAAGGACTTGAAAAGTCACTATCATTGCAACCAAGGCACCATTTCTTTCTAGCACTTCTGGGGACAGAGTAGCGCCCCTCATTGCAAACATTAACTTCTCAATGAAATGAGTAGCTTTGCTCAACTGATATAGTCTGTAGACCTGCCAAAATAATACCAGTTGTGGAAATTCTTCTCTTTGTTTCAAAGGGAAAGATGCAAACAAATATATAAGTCATATACCTCAAAAATAATAGGCAACAAACAAATACAGAAGTCATATACCTCAAAAATAATAGACAGCAAACAAATACAAAATCATATACCTCAAAAATAATGGGCACGAGAGGCCAACAAGATGACCCTTGCTTATCAAGAAGTTTCTCAAATACATATTGAGCCAGGTAGCCAACTAAGAGAGGAGCCACTGAAACTAAGGCGGGCAATCCAAGCACTGGCCAAGTGACAAAAATAGCAACGAGAGGCGCAAAAACCTTAAAGCCCATTGTGAAGAATGCAGATGTCAAGTATCCTTTGAGACCTGTGATGAGGCCCCATCTTTTTGGGCTAAACTGAAGATACGGCTTTTGAACGCGGTCGGTAAACAAACAAAAATGTTGCAAGTCCGATATAGAAGAAGATATCAGAAGCAAATGAGGCAACAATTTCTGCACAATTATACTTGGTAGAGTGAATAATGCATTTATTTTAGTAGAAGATATAAGGATAATAGATGAAGATGCGTACAAACCCATAATAACTCACAAAGTAGGTCCTTACAGATTACGAGACCAGGCACGTTATTCCATCTATTTTACAAGGTAGATCATAGTAGGCAAGCACTTGAAACTTGTAATCGATATGCAGGGGTTTACCAAACCAGCAAATGTCAATCACAGAATGTTTGCTCTGGACCATGCAAGACATGGATATGACAAAAATGATAATGTGATAGCATCGCAAGATTTAACCAATTGATATGCACTTCTCTCTACATATGTGTACAACACATGGCCTACGATTGTAATTAGCAACACAATCTCTTACGTTAATTTCTTTCTACACATTAATCTAGCAGACCAAAAATTATTTTTATCTGGCTCTGAAATTCAATAATGTCAATCACCTACATGGCTCTTTAGTAAAGTAAAAAGATTATAGTTTTGCATACTGTCAAAGGCTTCAAAGCTACACTTGGCTCTTTAATCTAGCTAAGGCATGAACTACCTTATCAGCATCTCTACGATGTACTTCAACTGTTCAATCACATTAATTTGGTGGGATTTAAGAAATTTTGTTCCCGACTCATGCTCACAGAACAAAATCAAAACAAGCTAGCAAAGTTTCTTCAAAGTCTTTCTAAGTAATGCTTAGCCTCCAAAACAAAAGTAAGCATTCACGCACGTATGCACACAAAATGTGTGCACCTATACTTCTACAAATATAAAATTACAGATCAAGATCATAATAAGTTATTTCTCCAAGTTAGTCGAGAATTCATTCTGCATGTTCATTAGTTTGCTAGCATGCCATAAGCAATCTAGCTCAAAATGAGATCTGATCGGAACTACTTTCCACTCAAGTTGTTGAACCAGGATTTGTAGCTTAGAAACATATTTATGTAGCAAACTGTCATATTTTTGTTGATAAGGAAAATTCAATATTATTAAAACTTGATAGAAGTTGAATTGACTATCTTAGTACACTATCACAAAGTAACGTAAATAAAAAATAATGTCGCAAGTGATTGACATACTCGGCAAACAATACATAATTTGCACAAAAAGATGAGACATGAGAATATATCAACCAACAAAGCAGTGTCCCAATTACTAGGTGTCCACCACATGAATCATCCTCTACTATTCCAGCTATCAATGACTATGTGTTCAATTAAACTTCAAGCAACTATATTACTATCACCATTTCATTTCTTGTAAATTTTGATTTTCTCTTCTCCTAGCATTTTCACCATCACTGATGCACCTATTAAATTTAACCATTATTTCAACCATTTCTATTTAGTTGAAGAAAATAAATTACTGATTTCTACATTTTGCCATTTGCAAACCGGCCTAAATGATAACTAATTGACCACACACCTGAGAAGATCTCATCACCGAAGAAGCCATCAATTGCAGCACCAACGAAGAGCTGCGGAAGGACCAGTGATGAAATCAGGGCAATAGGGGCCCACGCCCAGAGAAACGAGCCAGTGCCTTCCGCGGAAGGAGCTAACACTAATTTACTTTCTTCAACCAACTGATGAGTCACCCCACAAATGAAATGGAACCCGATTTCCCACAAAATGATTCCACCCCATTGCCCCCATTAATCCGCACACTAGTGTTTTCCTGTCTATAAGAATCAGATTCCGCAGGATTAGAATCAGAAGCGCATACAATTACTCCTCTCTTCAAGCTCGGTAGTAAAGAGAACTTGCATTTCCTCCTCATATCAGCCACCAATTTTGCTAAACAAACGTTCTCGTTAGACCAAGAAATTTCAAAATATACTATCATAAAAAAACTCCACTTTGAACATAAACATACAAAAACAAATGATATAAACATTTTGTTTTATGTCCAAATATTTCCTTCAAAAATGAAGATAAGCCCTTAACTAAGCAAGAGAATCTGTATTACACTCAGCTAAGTGAAGATTTTTGTAGTCTACCATCCATAAATTCAATTTCTAATCAATTTTACTGACAAAATTTACCCAGAAACCAAAGATAGCAGAGGCTAAGAAACAAAAGCATACATTTGAATTCATTCGAAATCAAAGTGTTTGTTTTCTCAATCCAACCTCGCTTTCAAATATCTTATTCCGTATCGAATACAAAGGAGAAACCTAAAAAAAACGGAAGTGAACAAAAAATCAGAGACAAACAATATATACATGTATTCGATTAAAGAAAGAGAAGGACGTATCGAAATGAGAATTACTTACAGTGTGATGAGAGAAGGTATTTGATTTGGATAATCTGATGGTTGGAGTGTGATTGTGAAGACAAGAAGAAACTAACTGAAACCCCATTTCTTTTACCCCACTTTTTTAGGGCTTTAGCAGAAGTGTTGGTTTTTCAATTCTCTCTCAACTTTTCTAGACCACTTGGCATCAGCTCATGGGGGCAAGGAGAAGTGCGCCCTATCCCAGAAATGCAACTGTCGGATCCAAGTTTGGGTGCAGTTGACCCGATTTTTTTTGGCAAATTATCAAGTTTATTTATTAGTTATTGTTCGTGGAAAGCACTGTACCACAAAAAAAATCAATTAAAAAAATGAGAATTAGCAAAAGAAAAATACAGTGCGCATAATGATAACAATAAATATCTAACGCCGATGAATATATAAAAAAGTACTAAATTACCTCAAAAACATAACTCAAAAAATT